GAGGTTTAACACGCCCAGACTCTGTTTTGTAAAGAAAACAGACTAGAAAAAAAGTTTAGATACCAATCATAGATGGCAGGACCAGTACTGAAGTGGAAAGAAAATTTTTTTTAAATCTTGAAAAAATTTTCTTCTTAGATGGCACTTATTTACAGTCTAAAACGTATTTTAGGATTTTTTCATTAAATTCCTCTTTAAACTTCATTAAATAATACAATTTTGTACAAACAATTGAATGTTATGCTACTATTTACAAAAATAAAATCTGAAATCCAGTAAAAGATAAGTTCTCTATAATTTTTTCAATTCACAAATGTGATTTTGCCCTCACGATAAGACAAAACGGCCACGGCAGGTAACGGATTAAACATGCTGACTAGCTCTGATCTTTCATATTTTGATGAATATATTTCAAAAACAAATAGAAACACTTACACATTTCCTTTTAAAATCTGTTGCTTCGACGGTGATGCCAGCACTAATTTTACAGGACTTGCAGACTTTGGTGGTGATCGAGATTTATTCAGCTGTTTCGGTTCTTCTTCTTCTTCCTTTGGCCTAATAAATGAGAGAAGCACTTGTATACTGAATATACTCTTCAATGACTTAAATGGTCTTGTTACACTAAAATAATTAGCATTGTGTAACAGCACACAACTACATTTCTTATAAATAACTTGTAATAACTTACTGCATTTACTTCTTCATATGGTAACAAAGCTAAGTGTCTATTATAAAAAAACAAGACTACAGATGTACAAATGCATCTGAAAGCATCAAATTAAATAGAGAGAATTATACAGATACATACTTTGCAGCTATTCTCGCTGATTGGCGTGTACCTTGAACAACTGGAGAACTTAGTTTCTGGGGAGACGATGAATAACTGGAATTACGAGGTGGTCTACCAGGCCCCCTAATAACACAAAATCACATATTCATAAAACACTACAAACTGAGAGATTAAAACAGTGCATTGTTTATTCTGGATTAAATATTTTTAACAGTTTTGCTACATAAAAAATCATAAAGGATTTAATCAGGAATTAAAAAACTGGAGAGTTATTGATTCCTTCCAACCAATCACAATCATTTCTGAATTTAATTACTGGCATGAATATATCCACAAAATAATGTGCACCTATTAAATAGCTGTAACCTAGGCATTTCTAGTTATTGTTTCAGGAGCTATTTAATGCACTAACAACTTTACAAAGCATTTAATTCTAACTCAATCAACAAAATAATTGGATTTATTCCACTCAGAAGAGTGATATTAATTTCATGTTGTTTATGTTAATATATACAGAACGAATTATCTTTTTAGAATGGTGCTCAGAATTTCATGGAAGTTATAATTGCCTTCTTTTTCTCAATTTTCTAAATTGAATATGAAATGGGGAAAAGTTGTTGAAATATTATACACTCTTTACCTTTACATATTACACCTATTATAAACTCTTTACCTTTAGGTATAACACCTAAGAAATAAACTTAATTATGCTTTCAACCAAAGAGGAGATCTTATAAAATTTCAAGAAGTGAAAAAAAGTTAGAAAATTAGGGTTATTTTTACTTTAAATTTGTAATCTATAGCAGCATTTCTCAATTTTTCGATACCAGGGAAAGGCTTCTCTAAGCTGCTGTAAACTGTTAAAATGCAAGTACAAAGAAAAATCATTACGACTTAATATGAATATTCTGTTTTTGTCTGCTTGTTTTCGTGAAATTCCATAGAACAGCACTGGTCCACTGACCAATGGTTGAAATAGCACAGTAACTGCAATGGACCACTGACCAGTGGTTGAAACAGCACAGTAGTTGCGATGGACCAGCACTGGTCCACTGACCAGTGGTTGAGAAACAGTAATCTACACATTATTAAAAACGTACTAAATAATATCCCATTTTGTGTAACAACATACGTAGACATGTCTGAGAGCTATAAAAATGTTAAATTTCTAATTGTGGTTGATAAATGATAAAACTTAGGGAGATGAAAAATTCTTGGCTAACCTTGAAACAGTATTAGGTGGTTTGCCTTTTTCTGGATATTTTTCAGTTTTAGATGGAATATCTGAAGACTGACTTGTAGGTCGTGGTTTTTTGGATGCTGGCTCTTCTTGGGATCCTTCTTCTTTGTCAGAGTATTCATTCTGAGTTCGGTCTACTGGTCTTGTCCCTTTCATGTGTGGTTCAGAAACGTTCTGATCGTCTTCTTGTGAGCTATTCATTACTGGGCCTTGGCTGCTATTGGTTTCATCCTGACTGGAGACAGAATCGTGTGAAGGAACTGCCCTCCCAGGTTTTCTGTTGCTTTCATACTGAGCTGTTTCAGATTTTCTAGGTCTCCCTCGGCCCCGCTTGACAGGTGGTGTCGGTACATATGCTCCATTTGTTGTCTTGCCAGGAGAACTTTCCTCTTTTGGTACAACAACCCTTACTGACCTCCTTGTCTTTTGTTCACTGTAAAATGTTGTCAACACTTGATAGCCAGTGAGAAAAATTACACATTGAAAGGAAAACAATCACAAAGCAAAGTGTAACGTTAAAGATATTTACTGACTTATTCATTAATTAATCATAGTCAATCAGAAAAATTCTGTACTGGAATTGCCCACATAAATATCTAAATACAATTCAGATCTACAAGGAACACACTTGTATAATTCTTTCACTTCAGAATATTAAAGATGCAGGATTTGTTTTTTAAACCTTATGAACACAGCATCATCATGCCATGCATCCACCAAAAAGTTTCTCACTGATAACCTGTTTCAAGTTTCTTATACAGTGTGGGTCAAACCATGCCCCGAGTTCTTGTAGGACATTAGAAACTCTGAACATTTGCAATGTGATACTGGTTCAGTGATCATGGCAATAGAGACTGATTACCAAGAAAAGTTTCTTTGATTACCCATAGCTTGGTTCCAATTTTGGGAGGATTCATTAAGTCTAACTCTATATCAAAGGGAATTTTCCTACTGGAAGTCATGTTTTAACTCACCTCTCACTGTCTTCAGCTTCATTTGATTCTTGATCGCCTCCATCTTTACTGTCTAACTGATGGGCATTCCCATTAGCTGTTCGAGGTTTTCTCCCACGGCCATTTGTGAACTTCTTTATTTCCTGCTTTGCTTGTGGTCCAAACATTTCCATCTCAATACCAGATCTCTGATACATTTTTAAAACACATATTTTAATCAATTATGTCAAACATACTAAAACTAAGTAACCAGTATATTTTAGTTTTCAAACAATTAAGATCAATACCAGAAATAGTTATTATCTAGTAAAAACACACCAAAACAACTTTAAAAGTATAATGATATTTAGATACTTCAATAGTAAGAAAACTGGTTTAGGAAATATAAAATCTTCAGCAAACATATTAAAAAATTATTAAAAATTTATAAAACCCAAAACCCTTTAATGAGCAGAAAAACCAAAAATATATAATAAATATATATATAAATGTATAATGTTATGAGATTTAAGCTGTTTAGTCTAAACATTATGTTTTTGTGTTGTAATTTGTAGTCATTCTAGAATGAAAGAGGCATAATTTATGTTTATTTTCTAATTTTTTTTATGGTAGTTACAAGATCGGTCAAATTTACCGAACCCTTGCAGAGATTCATTTGTGAAAATAACATAAAACATAAAGTTTTTCTTAGGAAATGTTTGATAACTATCCGGACATTATAAAGATTTTGCATGTGAAATTTCAAAATTTTCTGATGCATAAAAGTATTTATAACCTTAAAATGAAAATTACTTTGCATGTTGATAGGCAAGATGTGAAAAGAAAAAAAAGAATGAGAGAAATATTGCTTTACAAACTGTAAGACTTAATACAATAATTAGATATTTTACATATGAAAGCACTGTAATGTTTACTGATAAACTGACAAATTTTGTTAACATTCGCTTACTAATTTAACTCAACCTGGGCTCGGTCCTTGGGACCAACCTCATAACCATTTTGTGCTTGTTATAGTTTTCATGCTATAACTTTTAAATTAGTAAGCGAATATTTATTAAATGTATCTTGTCTGTGTGTTTTTCAATTCATTAACAGTTTGTGTAACTACTGTACTAGGAAACTGGTTTATGTTAGTAAAGCACTGAGATAAGTGTGCAACATCTATTAGCCAAAATGCAAGGAAGTGACTGTAAAAGCTATAGCTTGTAATGAAATAACACTTATAATCAGTAAGTAAATTCAAAACTAAATAATTTAAAATCTTTTTTTTGTTCAGAATTTTTTGCAATGCTACTCACAGCCCTAGCCATCCCTAATTTTGAAGTGACAGAATATAGGGAATGCAACTAGTCAACACCATCCACTGCCAACTTTTGGGCTACTCTTTCCCAATGAATAGTGAAATTGGTAGTCATATTATAATGCCCGAAGGGCCAAAATGGTAAGTGTATTGAGTGCCCTAACCAACAGGCCTTTAATAAAATCAGAAAGAAAATATCATTCAGAATAAGAATATGTACCAATTTATAGATGAGCCAGAAAGGTATTGTGTTTATTCTAATTTTCTACAACAGTTTACAAAAGTAAAGACAAACTGATGTAATAATTCAAGTTAAAAGAATCATCAAATACTAAAAACAACGGTTTTAAAGTAAGTTCTGATCTTTTCCCTACTTTTTTTTAGAAGATCTACGTTAATTAGTAATATTAGAAACTCACCTTAGGTGGAGTAAATTCACTGATCAGCTCTTGCGGTAGGTAAATCTTCATGTTGCTGTAACTCTACATAATATCAAGTACGAGTTTTTTTATTAAAATAGATCTGATGAATAACAAATAAATATATTTATATTAAAATAGTTCTACTGATTGACATGCATAAATACTTACTTTAAAACAAAAAAGTAACATAATTAAATTATAAATCTTTAGAATTAAAGGTTAAGGGTATAAAACCAGCCACTAGGCCCACATATTCCAAGAACAACATAAAACTAGCCACTAGGCCACATATTCCTAGAACAACATAAAACCAGCCACTAGGCCCACATATTCCAAGAACAACATAAAACCAGCCACTAGGCACACATATTCCAAGAACAACATAAAACCAGCAACTAGGCCCACATATTCCTAGAATAAGATTTTACAGCAGTTTGTAGATATTATTTGCTTTTATTGTTTAATATTTTTTTTCAATGATCGCTTAAAGAATTCCTTTCTTTAAGCACAAAATTAGAAATAAATCCTCATTTAGTCATAGATACATATTTAAATCAAATAAAGTTATATTCCAAGTCATATAAAATTTTGTCATCACAATATTTTTGCCACTTTGAATAATATATTTTAAAACAACATAATAAATTAGTGTAAAATCCATGATTCTAATCATTTCTCCCACACAGTGAAAAACATGATGTTAAGGCTTAAAAATCACACATCTTTCTGATTAATAAAATCACAATGTTTAACCTGATTTAATCTTGCTTTTAATATTCAGTTTGTAAACAACACACTAAGTAGTCTGTCATGTATTACGCATTAGTTTCCAGTCCATTAAATCCCTATGCTCCAACTGTGAATTCCAAACAATGCTTACACATATAAGTCCCTAACATATATACCCTACACTTCCAAGTTAGCTTGTAAACAACCTCAACCTTCAAATAGAGTTTAAGTTGAATTTCCAAACAATTCTGTACACATGTAAAGATGGTAAATTTATGTTACCTGTAAAAAAATAAAATAACAGTTTTCTTTGCTTATTAACAAATCTGGTTGCCATGGAATACACTGAACACAGAGAGAGACTATGGTCTTACTTTATTTCATGCAGCATGTGCATTTGAGTTGTGCTCTAGGATTTTAAGCTTAAAAGTCTTTATGTATATATTACACATCAGAGGTTTGCTTTGGAGTTTCTTACAGTAGCAGTATATAAACATCACATTATTTGGGTTACAGCCTTTTTGAAATTCAGGTAGAAGTGGGAATAACATACTGGACTAGTTGCTTAAATTCAACCCTTATGTTTCAGGTCTGTAAGTATAGGCTGATATATTACTGCAGTCAATCCACATTTATGATATACTTTTTAAAATAAAGTGAAAACCATATACCACAGCAGTATTATTGTAACAAGCTTAATGTTCTAATATAAGGAAAATATAGGTCAGTTACATAAACCCATTTAATATTTAAAAAGTATACTTTCTTGTTGAAAAACAACTCTCTCCTACATCTAAGCATGATGGGTATTAGAAAAACATTTTAAATGTTTCTTGTCTACACATTTTACCCTTATTTTAATTTCATAATAAATGTATTTTTTTCTATGGTTCTCAAAAAATGTTGACAAATGCACAATGTAATTTTCATTTTTTTAAATTAAACTTATAATTATATTCAAAACACTCATTCTAATATTGATATACCCTTGAAAACATCAAAGTCTTATATGCAAGAGTTAAGTACTGAAGTTATTTTTTCAAAACAGACTCAGTCTATTGCACTTAAGTTCAGATGACAAGTATAAAATTCAAGACAGTACTTCTCCACTTTTTTCCTCTTGCTGCAGTATACATCTACTTGAAACCTAAATTCTACATCTTATCAGTCCATGGTCATATAAAAGTTATTTCCAAATCAAATATAAACTAACTGCAGATTAACTACAAATATAATTTGTAGTCTTCTATATACAAATTTTTAGTTTGTCTAAATGAATAAATATTTAATATTTATTCTGTTATTAAAGGATCATGTGACAAATATATCAGTATTGATACTTCAATTCCAAAGACTGCAAGCCTCCAAGAAACATGTGATTTATATTCCAATTAAAATTTATTTCAAAATGTACTTTCCAGCAACTTTTTCATGAACAGGGTTTCAGACGTAACTTCTATTGCTAAATTATTATTTTTACTAATATTATAATTTTTCTTTAAATCACAAAAGATTCATTTTCAGAATCAGTGCCAAATACAGTCTTATTATAAGATCATAAAAAAATTCACAAAAATGTGTTTTCTTTAAATTTTACATTTATAAAAAATGGAGCAGATTCACTAACAGCAGAGAAAAGGAGGAGTTTGGTGTTGCAATAAAAAAAACAGCAGAGAAAAGGAGGAGTTCACCGTTACAATATAAAAACAGCAGAGAAAAGGAGGAATTCACCGTTACAATACAAAAACAGCAGAGAAAAGGAGGAGTTCACCATTACAATACAAAAACAGCAGAGAAAAGGAGGAGTTCATGGTTACAATAAAGAAAACAGCAGTGAAAAGGAGGAGTTCACGGTTACAATAAAGAAAACAGCAGTGAAAAGGAGGAGTTCACGGTTACAATAAAGAAAACAGCAGTGAAAAGGAGGAGTG